GAGATGAGGACGGTGGTGGAGTCAGTGCGGACGATGCTACTGCACATGGGCGTGCAGCACCACTGGTGGCACCTTGCTCTGCGGTAGGCCGTCTGGGTCTGCAACTGCCTTGAGTGGTCGACGCTGCCGTCGGGGACGACGCCGTACCAGCTGCTAACCGGGCAGAAGCCCGACTTGTCACTGGCCCGGGTGTGGGGCTGCATGGCGCAGTTCCTTGTCCCCGAGCAGCAGCGTGGTGGGATGTTGAAGCCGAAGGCCCGGTGGGGCCTTCACCTCAGCGTGTTGGCGGAGAGCAAGGGCTGGGAGCTCCTCGACATCGACGCCAACCAGGTGGTCACCACGTCGGACGTGGTGTTCTACGAGGATATGTCGCTGGAGGTGTGGAAGTCGGAGCACGGGCCGGTGTCAGGTCGGAAGCCTACTACCTCGCCGACCGACACCTCGACGGCGACGCTGCCTCTGCTCGCCGAGGTCGGTGAGCTTGCTGCTGAGGATGCCGAGGTCGTCCGTCCTCCTTCCCCCTCCCCTACGACCCCTACCCCTCCCCTCGTAGCCGACTTGCACGTGCTGACTCATATGTCGGCCTCCAGCGATGAGGGGAGTAGTGGGACGTCGCCTTCGGCGCCGGCCAAGGGCATCGCCGGTGGCCGACGTGACGAGAGGCACCTCAACGTGGGATTGAAGTCGACGTCGACCGGGGAGGAGCAGGTCGAGGAGCACCAGCCGACAGGAGAGCAGGCAGCAGTGTAGTCGGCAACCAGGCAGGTTGACGTGGGATTGAAGCCGACCACAGGGGAGAGGTCGACCAGGAAGTCGACTGAGGAGAAGCAGGATGATGAGGGCAGTGAAGACGGTGACGAAGGAGGAGACGCCGAGGAGTCCACCAAGAGTGACGTGGTGGAGGTTTCGCCTGAACCCCGAAAGTCAGGCCGACTTCGGAGGCCACCCGACTTTTTCGTCCCCGCTGCCTTCACCACGGTGTACGACGTGGACGACGAAGACCTGGCGTATGATGACGCTGAGGAGGATGAGGAGTTTCCGGAGCTTGACCCCGACATGCATGCCGACCCCGAGCACCGCTGGGACATCGCGACCATGACGGTGAAGGAGGCGTTGGCGAGCTGGAAGGGCCCGGCGGTGAAGGCCGCCATGGAGGAGGAGATCCGCAGCCTCATCAGCATGGAGACTTGGGAGTTGGTCGAACGCCCGCCGGGAGTGAACGTCATGAAGAACCGGTGGGTGTTGACGACGAAGTACCACGTCGACAACACGCTCGAGCGCGAGAAGGCGAGGCTGGTTGTGAAGGGCTTCACGCAGGTGTACGGCGCCGACTACAACGAGACGTTTGCGCCGGTGGGCAGCTACGTCACACTGAGGATCTTCCTCAGCATCGTCGCCGTCCGCAACCTCAACCTGATGCAGCTCGACATGAAGAACGCCTTCTTACAGAGCAAGCTCGACAGGGTGCTCTACATGTCCCAGCCGGACTACTTCAACGACGGGACCGGCCGGGTGTGCAAGCTGCTGAAGAGCCTGTATGGGCTGAAGCAGTCGCCGCTGCTGTGGTACTTGGCGCTCAACGACATGCTGGTCGACGCCGGGTGGAAGAAGAGCCAGGTCGACGAGGCTTTCTACTTCTAGGTTGGAGAGGAGGGAGTGGCCTGCTGGGTGCTGGTCTACGTCGAAGACCTGCAGCAAGCTGGGGAGCGACCTCACGGTGAGGAGCGACCAGCACTGTCGCGAGGTCGCCCGCTGCCTCGCCTACCTCGCCAACACGCGTGACACCGCCCTGGAGTTCGGCGGTGGACCTGAGTCGCTGGAGCTGGTCGGCTACGTGGACGCCGACGACGGCGGTGACAAGCAGAACACGACGAGCACGGGTGGCTACGTGTTCGTCTATGGAGGGGCCGCATTCTCCTGGTCAAGCCAGCGCATCAAGTGCGCGACGTTGTCGTCGACTGAGTCGGAGTACGTGGCAGCCACCGAAGCCGGCAAGGAAGGACGCCGGCTTCGCTTCCTCCTTGCAAAGTTCCGGCAGCTGGATGCTGGGAAGCCGACCGTCCTTCGGGTGGACAACAAGTCGGCCATCACAGTTGCCGCGGGCATGGGGTTGACGGGCAACCTCAAGCACATGGAGCGGCGACAGGCCTGGCTGCAGCACATGGTGAAGCGCGGGAAGTTCTCGCTAAGGTACATCCAGACCATTGAGCAACCGGCCGACTTCCTGACAAAGGCGCTGCACTATCCGGCCTTCAACCGGTGCTTCGTCGCCATCGGCCAGGTGTGCTTGGCCGACGTGGGCGACGAAGATGACGACGTGCAGCAGTAGGTGCCATGCCCTCTTGCATGGCTCGTGCGGTAGACAACGTGCTGTTTGTTGGGTGCACGTTGACGAGCTATTCTCCGAGGAGTATTGCCGAGTGGACTTGGAGGGGGGGCCAAGCGTGAACGCGGCAGGGGAGTGTCAACGGGAGTTGTGTGTTGGCCCCATCCACGCTTGGGCGGAGCCGACTTCGTGGTGGGGTGTACGGAAGGTACAGCCGACTTGCAGCAGTGGGCGACGCCGACTTGGGCGAGCTGGTCGACGGGGTTGGTCGACTTGCACGGGGCCACTACAATGCCGCCGACTTGGGAAGCCGGCGGCTGACTTCAACTGGTGGTCGGCGATGTGGCACGTCGACCTGGAAGTCGGCGCTGACTTGCAAGGTCACCGACTTGCCAGGTCACCGACTTGCAAGGTCATCGACTTGCAAGGTCACTGACTTGCCAGGTCACCGACTTGCCAGGTCGCCAACTTGGGAGGTCGCCGACTTGGGAGGTCGCCGACTTCAAGAGGTCAGTCTGGAAGTCGGCGCCGATGTAGAAGGGGCGTCGAATTGGTGACGCCGACTTTGGGTAGCCGACTTGGGTGGTCGGCTGACAACTGCGCTGGTCGACGTGGAGCTGGTCGACCAGGAGTGACGTCGACCCGGAGCTGGTCGACCAGAGGAGTGGTCGACCTGGTGAGGTCGACTTGGTGTGGTCGTCGACTTGGGAGGTCAACGAGCACATACAGGAGCAGCTGGTTGACATGGTTGCCCGGTCGACCAGGATACCTGGGTGACGAGGTTCTGCGAAGGAGTGCGACGTTTGCCCAGGCGAAGTTGGCGACTCCGACCTCGGTGGTGGTATCCCGAGGTCGACGTGGCGGATCAGGTGGAGCCATCAGCACGAAGATGACTTGGTGCGTGCGCTGTTCAGGTGACGACGCTTAGCCCTCCAATCATCGATGAGCACCTGCGAAGTAGGTGCGCTGCTGTTCTACGGGAGCAACGCTCGCACGCCGTCAACCTGCAGCGTTGGCACGCTGTCGACTTTGCACTGCTGGAGCGCGGTTGACCAAGTCGTGCTGGAACGCGGTCGACCATGCTCTGCTGGCAGTCGACCGACCTGAATGCTAGCTCTGATGTAGTCTTGCCATGCCAACTTTATTGTACCATTGTTGTCAACTTTCTCTTGTGAAACTCTTGCCAATTCTCCTCGTGAACTAGCAAGCTATGCGTGCACTAGGAAAATGACTAAGGACCAACGAACGCAAAGATCACACAAGCACCCGTGCCTAGCCCGTAGTCTAGCTCCCGTTGTAGTAGTTATCTCTGCAGAACCAGTACCACGAGCTCCACCACCGGGACTGCCCCAATGGACAGCCCACTCGAGAAGCTGCAGCGGCAAGAGCGACTCCTGTCGACTAGCACCACCAACTTTAGTACCTCCAGTAGTACCTCCTGGAGTACCTCAAGTGTTAGCACCGCCTCCATTACCAGTACCTCTAGCACGGCCAACTCCAGGACCACCAGTACCAGCACCTCCAAGGCCAGCACGTCCAGTACCTCCAGTAGCACCTGTGTCTCCAGTACCAGGAACACCAGCACTAGCACCTACAGAACCAGCACCTCTAGAACCTGCAGCTCCACCACGTCCAGCGCCACCACCAGAACTGCCAACAGCAGCACCCACAGCAGCAGCACCTCCAGCACCTCCAGCTCTAGTAGGGCGAGCACGACTAGCTCCACCTCCGGGGCTGCCCCACTGGACAGCCCACTCGCGAAGCCGCTCCTGCTAGAGAGTCTCCAGCCGACATGCACCAGTACCACCAGTAGCAGAACCTCCAGCTCCAGCAGTGCCAGCACCTCCAGCTCCAGTAGTCCCAGCACCTCCCACTCGAAGACGGCTAGCTCCACTACCAGGGCTGTACCACTGGACAGCCCACTCACAAAGCCACTTCGGGGAGAGAGCCTCCTGCTGACTAATACCAGGATCACTAGCACCAGTACCTCCAGTACCTCCTATACCCAAAGGACACTTAGCACCCCCAGAATCAGCACCTTCAGTGGTACCACCTCCTGCAGCACTAGATTCCACAGCGACAGGCCGGAGCGGCGGAAACCCAGGAAGGACCGCCAAGCGCGCAGAGCGGCGAGGGGTCACGATGGCAGCAGGAGTCGGGTCACCCCCCTCAAATGGGCCAGAGATGTCAGAGGAGACCTCAACTGGCTTAACCAAAGGGGACGGGTCAACCTGAGACACACCTGAGGGAGCAGGACCGTGCAAAGGGAGTGGAGCTCCCGGTAGGGGGTCGGAGACCTGTGCGAGAGGCGGGAGAGGCACGGGGGAACTACTGTGGGGGTGGAGAAATAGTCAGATTTGTCAAAGGGGATGTCCTGGGAGGAGAGAACACGACGGGAACCCGGGTGGTAAAACTGCCAGCCCGGGGCGTCGGTAGGGAAGCCAAGGAATATGCAACGAAGAGTGCGAGGAGAGAGCTTCCCCGCAGGGGGGTCGCCAACGTGAGGGGCAGAGTGCACCACAGGATTGGGAGGTCCTCACGGAACCGAGCGCGAAGTTGGAGACAGACAGCGCGGATCCAGCGGATCAGGACACTGCGGACCTCCGCCTTGCTCTGCAAGGGGAGGACCGTGGTGTAGCACGTGTAGTCGTCTACAACCAGCAAGAAGTAACACTCAGCGTCCTGTCCATGGAATCGGGCTGGACCTCACACGTCCATGTGGAGGGTCTGCAGAGGAGCTGTGGTTGGAAGAAACGAGGAGGAGTGAGGAGCGGCGTTCTGCCGACCCCTCAACGCAAAGAAGACACGACGGCGCAAGCGACCTCGGGAGCGGGGCAGGGACCTGGGAAGCCCAGAGACAAGGAGATGTGAGTGCATGCTACGAAGGCGTGGCAACAAGGAGTGGCCAAGACGGTGGTGCCAAAGGAGAGTCTGGTGCATGAGGACACGACACGAGCAAGACGCAGTGACCTCAACCAACGAAGCTACCTGGACTGACTCAGCTACCAGTGCAGACTCAGTGGTCAGTGCGTAAAGGCCAGACCCAGGCCTCCGAGTGAACGTGGCGAGGTGCTCACCAGTGCGCGAGTTCGTACAGATCGCCACTAGCTCGCTTCCAGGCTGGGTGACAGTGACCCACTGGTCCTGGAGGACAGAGGTAGCCACCAAGTTCTTAGTGAACGAGGGGAGGTGGAGACCTGTGAGGAGGCCCGAAGGGGCAGCCAAACAAGGGAGAACAGTGGCGCCATGCGGGATTTTTGGGCCCTTGTAGGGGTCGACCAGTGTGACCGGGACAGAGACTATGAGCGGTGTGACTGTGGTGCTATCACGGAAGAAGCAATGAGACGCTCCTTAGTCGAGCGTAAAAGTGTGCAAGGCCTCCTCAGGCTCTGCACCTGTGCTAGCTGAGTCAAAAGCACCAAAACTAGCAGCCTCTACTCTAGCAACTATAGGCACACACGAATAATAGTCCATCTCAACACTAGCAGAAACAGCATACATTGCATACATGCCAGCATGGATCACGTCCCAATCACAAGCAAAGACATAGATGTCCTTCTTCAGTAAAGCTAACTAGTCAAGAGTCTTCATCTGCTCACCATGCTCCGCACAATACAGGTCGTCGAGGCGGAAGAAGCAGCGAGACTCCGTATGATCAGTGCGGTTGCAAGCTGCGCAGGGTGACCTGTGCGACGGATGTACCCACAGTGAGCTCGGCCACCCGTGCTGCCACGCCTCAGTGCCCACTCCCGAGGCTGCTGCGACGAGAGCTGCTGCTGTCTACCCTCAGAGCCGCCTCCACCACCGGCTGCACCACCAGACGTAGCAGTGCGTGTAGTCGAGCCTCCAGCTCCACCCCCTCCAGCTCCACCCTGAGTGCCACCCCCGCCCCCTCCACCACCCCCACTGCTCCCACTACCCCCTTCACCTCCAATGCCGCCACCACCCCCTCCTCCCCCACCACTTCCACCACAACTGCCCCCGCCACTACCACCGCCACCCCCACCTCCCCCACCACCCCCACCCTTGCCCCCCTTGCCCGTACCGCTCTTACGCCTACCAGCAGGAACAGACGCAGCACCAACCTCCTCAACACCAAGGAGGTCGACAGCAGTAGTAGAGGCAACAGAGGACACAAGCTGGGAGGGGGATCACCCCCAAAGACGGAGAGGAGGGGAGTGCCATGGGAGGCAACTACAGCCAGGGCAACAGACTCAGTCTCTAAGAGGCATTTCGCAAACGATTATATGGTGACTTTGGTGGGGTCGAGAGAGAGGAAGTGATCACGAACAGCACGAAGCGTGTCAGGGAGGCGAGTCATGAGAAAGTAGAGGGTGATATGGGGGGCTTTTTCTCAGCCAGAAAGTTGGCATCTAGAGCAGAACGGTAACGGGTGTCAAGAGAGCGGAGGTGCGTGATAAGGTCGGCTACTGTGGTGAAGTAGGCGAGCTCAGGAAAGAGGAACTGTAGTGCAACGTGGCCTATCGTCGTAGAAGACGGGGAGGAATAGCGTTTGACTACAGCGTCGTAAAGCGCTTTGGCCGTCTTAAGCTGGCAAAAATGAGAGCGCTGGTCGGGCGGAATGTGGTTATGGACAGCAAGGGCTGCACTAGCATCACGAGCGGTCCACTAAGAACGAACTTTCTGGTCTGTGGCCTCAGTAGGGCTAGCGTCTGTCCCGAAGGTATGCTGAAACAGTGAGATGTCCTCCATAGTGCCGCTCTTAAAGAACCACTCTAATTCCTCGAGCCAGTTCTCAAACTCGATCGGGTGAGCAGAGTAGGAGTAGCCATAGCAGCAGTGGTGGCAGTGGCAGCAGCAACAGCGCCTAGGAGCAGCAGCAGGGTAGCGCTGCTCGGGCAGGATGGCGCGGCTCGGCAGGGCGGCGCAGCTTGGGCAGAGCACAGGGCAGTGGCACGTGCATAGCAGCAGTGGCAGCAGCGCACTTAGCAGCAGCATCAGCGGAGCATGCAGCAGTGACAGGAGCATCAGCAGAGCATGCAGCAGTGGCGCCAGCACTTAGCTGCAGCAGCAGCAGCGCTTGCAGTAGTAACAACTGCAGAAGTGACAGCAGCAGCAGCGCGGACGGGCAGGGAGCAGGCAGGGTGCGCGTGGGGTGCACGCGGGCAAGGCGCAGGCCGGGCGCAGGCTGCTGGTGGGCAGCTCGTTTGCGAGGCAGGGCAGTGCATGAGTGGAGAAAACGCAAGGGCGGGGCCGGCAAAGTGCGCGTGGGCAGCGCGGGCAGGTGGACAGCAGGGTGCGCATGCAAAGCGCGCAGCAGGCAGGGCAGCGCAGCTGCAGACAGAGCGCGCGCGGGCAGGGCGACGCTCAGGCAGGGCGCGCGGGCAGGGCGATCGCGTGTTGGGGGGGGGGGGGGGGGGGGGGGGGGGGAGGTGGGGGGGGCGTTCCTAACAGGCAGGTGGGTCGCGTTTGCTATGGCAGGGCAGAAACTAACGGGCAGAACGATCGGTGGGCCCTTAAAAAAGAAAAACGGTCCTAAGGATCGACCCCCTCTGAACCCATATTAGAACGTGAATGACGGGGTTGTGGAATGAATAGTGAGAGAGAGTACAAGTACAAACCTAAAAGGGTTGTACCCACTATAGCTAACATCACTACAGCCTATCAGATGAACATACAAATATGTTTGACACTTCAATTCCTAATCTTTATCAGCCTAGGAATGCAAGAGTCAATCCGCCAAGAGTCAATGATCTCAGCCAAGCCTCAAATGCCGAAGGGTTTTATTTTGAGTGTTTTTGTTGTCATGAGTGGGGTCCCCCGTGGTATGCTTGTCCTAAGTAGCTTCCTGATTGGGTCCCCCCACCTCAGCTACTATCTGAAAAGGGTAAGGCAGTCATAGCAAATATAGCAAGTCATTCAACAAGTCAAGATGAGTCCAAAGATTCTGATGGTCATGTTCTTTTCAATGGCACTACTTGCATGCACGTTTTTACTACTAGTAGTGAGGAGTTTAATCTTGATAGTGGCTGTTATGAAACCGTGACTCCCTGTCAGTCCATTCTCAAGAATTTCAGTCCTTGTACGACTCAAAATTTGTGACTCTTGCTGATCTTGGCAAAGTCCCTATCAAAGGAGTCAACAAGCTTGAATTCGAAAAGGATGGTAAGTCATTCTGTGTCAATAAAGCTTTGTTTGTCAATAAAGATTTGGGAGCAAAATTGCTCTCAGTTGGACAACTCGAAGAGAAAGGTGCTTCTGTACTCTTGCAAGGGGGGAAAGCCAAACTCATACACAACCCTTTTCTTCCGTTCCATGTCCATCTTGTGTCGAAGGTAAGCTAGCTAGGAAGCCATTTTTCCCTTCCAAGTCTCAGTCAACGGACCTCCTAGAGTTGGTCCACATTGATGTATTCGGCCCCATGCGAGACCCTATTCGAAACGGTAAGAGATATTTGGTGTCTTTCATTGATGACAAGAGTCGTTTCTCGTGGTCCTTTTTCATCAACACCAAGGATGAAGTTCACAAGTATTTCAAGCAATGGCTAGCACTTGTTGAGAGAGAATCAGGGAAGAAGTTACTCACCTTGAGGTCGGACCAAGGAGGTGAGTACATGGGGAAAGCATTTCCGGGGGAGTTGTTGGCATTGGGCATCAAACAACAGTTCATTTGTCCCTATAGTCCTCAGCAAAACGGAGTAGCAGAGAGGTTTCATCGCACTATTCAAGCTATAGCTACCACTTTTCTTCAGTTTAAAGGCCTTGACAAGCTCTGGTGGGGTGAGGCAATCATTATGGCAATTTATGTTCGCAACAGGAGACCCACAAGGCCCCTACCGGATGGTGTAACGCCATATGACGCTTGGTTTGGATTTAACAAGATTTTCCTAAGCTCTGTGTTTTCAATTCCATGGCCCAATACCGTGTTCCAGATGCCAAGAGACTCAAGCTGGAGAGCAAAGCTCATTGGGGCCTCTTCATCGGCATGAGCAACGAGAGCAAGGGGTGGGTCCTTTGGGATCCCGTCACCAAGCGAGAAGAGGTTTCAAGAGATGTTGTCTTCTATGAAGACATGTTCCTTGCAGATTGGCACAAGTTTTCCTCTTCCTCCTTGCTAACACCCCCTATCCAACAGGAACCAGCAAGAGCACCTGAGGAAATAACACATGAGGAGGAAGAAGATGACACCGATTCTGACCATAGCAGACCCATCTCGATCTCCCTCAAGCCGTCGTTAACAAGACCAGCCATGCCACACCAGTGCCACCAGCAGCTACTCAACCAAGTGGAGACGTGGTTCAGCCATCAAGTGAAGACCATCCACCTCAGGAGTCATTGTTCCATCATCGCCAAAGGAGCAGCAGCCGACCGTCACAAACCAGCCAGCTACTTCAACACCAGCCTCACAAATTCCACGTCAACTGAATCAGCCCACCACTATGCCATCAAACCTATCACCAGCCCTCACTCCAGAGGCAACTACGGAAGCTCACCATCATCTATTGCAGCAGCAACCAACAGCTACAAGACCCCAAGTACCTACATCACCACCATCTACGATTCTTCCTAGCAACAAGCCCACTGTCACCGCAACACCTCGTTCTCATACCACACGTTCATCACTTCAGGTTCCAACGTCAAGCCAGCTCATAGCACGAGGATCACTTCAGCGAGTCACCACCAACACTAGCTCCAACACCCCACTTCTTCACCCAAGACCTTTCTCAAATTCACCCCCACGTCCCGGAATTGGCCGTCATTAGTTATCGCCATCTTCAATACCGAGAAACAACACCAACCAGCCCCATTCGTCACCACCTCTCGAAAACGTCGTGTCATCATCAATCCCCAAGCTTCTAGTCTCAAGATCCCCACCAAGAGCATCTTCACAACCAACAATGCCGACGAACGTTTCAGCTTTACTGCCACGAGTCACCACACTTATTCCTCAAGTCAACACTGATAATCGAGAGAGTTCCATGCCGGGAGAAGATCATGCAGCCATTCCGCCGTCGCAGCCGATGACGCAGCTGTTGCCTCAGCCGCAAATGACCGCATCAACAAAGTCAAATACTGTGAGACCGAACCCGACCAATGATGTGTCTCAGCCAAGTGAGGAGTTTGGTAAAGGCAAACGAGTCCTCAAGGTAAAAAAGCCCTTCACGTTCATGGTTGACATGTCTCAAGGTGCACATGCGAGGAGAGCCAGAATTGCATTCACAGGAAGGTAGAGGCAATATGCATGACAGCGTCACACCCTCCACAAGAGCCATTGAGTCGTCGTGAGGCTATGGCAAGTCAAGAGAGAGAGCATTGGTTGAAGGCCAAGGAAGAAGAGATTGAGAGTCTCATGAAGAGAGATACATTGCGTCTTGTTGAGCCACCTTTAGGGAAGAAGATAATTGGTGTCAAATGGGTGTACAAGATTAAGGTAAAAGGTGATGGTAGCCTTGATAGGTACAAGGCAAGGCTAGTGGCAAAAGGTTATTCCCAATTTACAGGTCTTGACTTTACCAAAACCTTTGCCGCGGTCGCAAAGTACACCACGGTACGGGTCCTCCTCGCCATAGCCGCATATCTTGGTCTCCATATCCATCAAATGGATGTCAAGAACGCATTTCTCAACCCGAAGGTTATGATGATGGTACGGGTCGAGTTTGTTGCTTGGTAAAGTCCCTTTTATGGTATCGAACAGTCGCCACGGGTATGGTATCATGCTCTTGAGAAGGTACTCTTCAAGCACGGTTTCACAAGGTCCATGAGAGACAACGCTCTGTACTTCATGCACACGAGTGAGGGGGGGTCTATTTGGCTTTTGGTATATGTCAATGACCTCCTCGTAGTCTCAGGTTCTCTTGATCTCCTCAACAAGGTTAAAGGTATTCTCATGAGTGCATTCACGATGACCGATCTTGGTGAGCCGAGTCATTATCTTGGTATGAACATTGTGAGAGATCATAAGCCACGGTCCATCTTCCTATTCCAGCAAAGGTACATCCAAAAGGTCCTTGAAAGGTTTGGTCTTGATGATAGCAAGCCATCACCTACCCCGCTTCCTTCCAACTTTGTCCCTCTATCTTCTCTTCAGCCCTATGAAGAGAGAGAGTCAAGCCTTGACATCACGCATATTGAGGAGTTGTGTCTTGAGGATAGTGAGCATCATGGTGAGAATTCAGCCAAGGTGTCCCCACAAGACCTAGCTCTCTACCAAAGTCAGGTTGGGTCTCTCATGTACGCAGCCCTATGCACAAGGCCTGACTTAACCTTCACGGTATCCAAGCTAGCTCAACACATGAGTGCCCCATCACCCATCCATGTGCATGCGGCCAAGCGAGCTCTTCGGTATCTCAAAGGTATCTCT